CCAGAAACTTACTGCCACCTCCCACTGTTAAGGTGTTATAATAAAGATAATACTCGGACCAGCAGATGGCACGATGGTTACATCACTGGACTGCATGTAATAGACATTGTTACAGTCCCAGACATGCAGCTTAAAACTGATGCTGAGAGTGTGTGCATGTGTGCCCAAAATCTAGAGAAAAGGATAGAGAAGGGATTGCAGTGTGGCAATTCCTCCTAGGAGGAGATTTCTCACTTTCTGTCTCTCTGTCTTTCTGGCAAGAGCATGCACCCTATAGAAAAAACCTTTGTAAAAAAAAAATAAAAAATAAAAAATAAAAAATAAATAAAAAGCCCTAAGATTAGGTTATTTTCTCTAGTTGCTAAACCTTATTTTAATGATTCCATTTTCTAACTTAATTATTCTGCTGTAAATTATTCTCTTTAATCAATAGTATACATCTAATTACTCTGATCAAAACATAGGCACCAGATAAACCACTCTATCATTTTTCTAAAAAAAAATTGTGTTTCATTTTTAATTTGTATAGGGCATATGTGCTCACTGGGAGGATTAGAGAGCAAGAGAGAAGAGAGTTAGAAATCATCCCCCCACTCCCCATGGAGGATGACCATCCCTTCTCCTTCACTTTCTCTTGGGGCTTTGGGTGTGCACACACGTGCACCTTGCATGCTTTTCAAGCCTGTGGTCTGGGACTGGAACCGCAGAGTCAGCCATTTGGGATCTAGACATCTTAACCACCACGCCACCTGGCTGGCCCCTAAAAACAGATGAATTTTGATCTCATACAACTATGTGTTAATGAAAATGATAAAAGCTTGATCTAAACATGTTGTATTTATACTGCTTAAGCCAATGATTGAGGAAACTAAAGAAGCCAGCTAAACCAACCATTAAGGAGTTGGAATTGGTAAATGTATGTAAAATCTGAGTATTTGACAAGAAAACAAAATGGTTTTAAATAATTCCTAGTATTTTCGAAATGCTACTTCAATTCTTTGGACTTAAAAAAGTATTTTTACCAAACAAAAAAGCCATTTATAAAAATATCTACAATGTGTATGTATAGAAAAGAAGTAGCATAAAACCAGAAGAGCCAGTTATGGAATATCTGTACTTTTCATTCTCTATCGGCTTGGTCTTTGGGGTACTATAATGTATAGCTCTTGAATTCTACTTTTTATGCGATATCATGTGTGAGAGGAATAGAAATCTGAGTAGTACATTTTTGTCATTCTGCATGTAGACATGATAGTCCAATAAAAATGTCATTAGTTGACCACTGGAAAAAAAATCTTTAGAAAAAGTTAATGGCATAATAATGGTCATTTTCTTAAATACTTGTTCACCATAAATAGAAATAACTGGGCCACTTTAGTATAGCTATGAACGTACATGTAGAGGGCTTCCACTGGGGATTTTGGATGCTCAAAACTATTCGTATACAAAACCTTTGATCTTTGTATGAAAATCAGGAATCCTTACTGCTAATACTGGTCAATTAGACTGATTTTTGTCCTCACCAAGAGGTCTCGAATCCATAGCCATGAACTGATCACTACGGAAGTGACTAGCTGAGTTTCTACCATGTAATTAGAAGGACCAGCAGGACACTGGGTTACTGTAATGCTCCCTGAGATTCAACTAATTAACATTCCCTTTCCTCTTCCTCCTTTCCTGGGTTTTATTGATTTTAAAAAAGAAATAGTGAATTTTTATAATTAAGTTCATAATAATGCACTATAAATACAGGGTAACACATACTGTGGACATTTTGGATTTTGTCTGATGTTAGAGACCAGACTGTGGCATCCTGGATTTCTTGTCATCCTCTAAAACCAAAACCCACATGAATTACAGTCAATGGAGACATGCTGCTTATTCATGGACTATGTAAGGAACAAGGTGGGGGGCCAGCAGATGGCATAGTGGTTATGTCACTGGACTCCCACAGTTCAAGTCCTGGACCTGGTAACTTAAAAATCATTCTGGGCACGTGTGTGTGTGTGTGTGTGCCCAAGATCCTGGGAGAAGAACAGAGAAGAAGAGATTGTGGTGTGGTATCCCCTTGGTGGGTAATTCCTCACTTTCCCACTCACTGTCTCTGTCTCTGTCTCTCTCTCTGGTGAGTACATGTGTCTAAGACAAAAATCTTTAAAAGGTCTGTCTCTCTCTGGTGAGTACATGTGTCCTAAGACAAAAATCTTTAAAAGAAAAAAAAAAAGGAACCAGGCTGTAGTGCCTCAGTAATCCAACTGGATCCACATGAGAAGGTCCTGGGTTCATATTCTGAGACCTCTTCCAGCCTGCCAGGTATGTGAAAGTATGCCCATGAGCTAGGCCAGCTGAGAATAGGGGTGGGTCAGGTGGATGTGGGTAAAGACCCTGTTGGGATGCATCTCTCTTTTTCTCTTATGAAAGGAAGAAATAAATAAAAACAATAGACTTGGTGAGCTCCAGAAAGTTTCGTTTTGGAACTTTATCTATCTTATGTTTTCCACAGTAAGGTAGTCCAGGTTCTTCTAGCTAAAACAACATGTCAGAAGGGTTTCATGCTTCCAAAAACCTCCCTCGGTTTGAAACGCATAGTGCAAAGGTCGTGTGTGATGAACTTGCTCCAAAACCATGTGCTCTTGGGAACCAGCAGTTAGCGTAATGGTTATGTCGCTGGTCTCCCACGTAGTCGACCGTGGTTCGTGTCCCAGACCCGGTGGCTTAAAACTCATGCCGGGCGCATGTGTGTGCATGCCCAAGATCCCGAGAGGAGAATGGAGGAGAAGGGATTGCAGCATGACCATCCCCCCCGGGGGGTGATTTCTCACTTTCTGTCTCTATGTCTCTCTCTGTCTGTCTGGCGAGCGCATGCACCCTATAGCAAAAAAACCTCTCCAAAAAATAAAAAAAAAGAACTAAAAAACAAACAAAACATTGTGCTCTTGTCTATGTTTGTTGCCATTGTACCAGGACAGGGCATCATGGCTTTTCCTAAAGTCATTTGCTTATGATTCTAACATGTTTTCTATCTCACTCATGTTACTGTTCCTGAGCATAATAATCTCCTGGTTTCCTCATAGTGAGTCTGTCTTTCTTGCTTTATTTCCCTGTTTTCTAATATTTTAGCAATGATAGCAACTGTCTTTTAATGACTAGTCCCCATTTGTCAGGCTCTAAGTAAACACCGTAAGCCCATGGGTTTTTAAGAAACATTGTAACTAAGAGTTTTAACCCTGTGTGTTAGATGAGGAAACTGAGGTTCAGAAAGTTTGTTAGCTCAGCCTTGGTGGCATCGTTGGTGGCATACTGAACATGGCCAACTATGGGTTCAGGTCCCCAATTCAGCTGAACTGAAACGTACCAGGTATGCTTGCCTCGGTGGCCAGGATCTTGAAGAGCGGAAGGGCTGGGGATAAGAAATGGATGACAGTGGGATGAGTTCCTGCCGAGGGTGCACCTTTCTGTCTCTCTGTTTCTCTGTCTCTCTCTCTCTCATGCATACACTATCATAAATAAAAGGAAAATATATTTAGAAAGAGAAGTTAAGTCACTTTTCCCAGTCTCCCACCTAGTGAGAAGCAGAGCTGGGATTCTAACTAACTCAGTTGTGTCCAATTCCTAAGTGTTTCCTCAAAACCACTGAACTTTTTTGACCCCTATTAATTTCTTTTCTTTTCTTTTTTTTTTTTTTTTTTTTTTTTTTTGAGAGGTTTTTGCCATAGGGCGCATGCACTCACCAGACAGGCAGAGAGACAGAAAGTGAGAAATCACATCTCCCCCCCCTCCCCCCCGAGGGGATGGCCACACTGCAATCCCTTCTCCTCCATTCTCCTCTTGGGATCTTGGGCATGCACGCACACGTGCCCAGCATGAGTTTTAAGCCACCGGGTCTGGGACTCGAACCGTGGTTGGAGAAGGGAGTGCAGCAACATAGCCATTACGCTAACTGCTGGTCCCACCCCTATTAATTTCTACTGGTCATAGGTCTTTACAGTGATTTTAAAATTGTGAGTATCCTCACCTTCATGCTTTCTTTTAGCTACTTTTGGTTAAGTTATTATAAAATCTTACAGTCATATCCTTAAATGCTGACTGTTGCCTTCTAACAGGACATTTGAACAGATGACTTATGGTCACTAAATCTTCTAAAAATGACAAATTCAATTTCTGATTTATCGTGCACATTTTAGTTAGCCTTAAGAGTGTTTAATAAGAGAATGCATAGAATGGATGCCTTCATTCAGGAGCAAAATGAAGTGGAAGCATGTTTTAAAACTTAAGCGACAAACGTTATTACAATAGCTGCTTTGGCAATTACACCTAGTTTAAACTACCTAAATATAGATTTTAAATAGACATTTTAGCCATTCAATGTAACTTCTCTTTGAAACCTGCTTTTCTATGCATTATTATGCCCCAAGCAAAACCCTTTTTAATAACGTATATTTTCATTGTTATGCCTCTTCTTTCCCTTGATCCCAAACTAAATCCACCATTGTTTCCGATTGAATTAAAATGTGTCATATTAAACCCCAGAAAAACACCAAGGTCATGAAGTAAATTATCTTATTTTAGAGAGGAGGCAAGTGCTAATTCCACAATAATAAAATGTTTAAATGTGTGTATGGCCACCCAGAAGAAGGACGTCATTTTTGGGTCTTCTTGTGATCGTGTGTGTTCATATGACTAAATTCTGGAGTAGAATTATGTGGTAGTAGCTTCCAGAAACCTTCCCAAAGGGACAACTGGAATGTTCCTTTTGCCCGCTTCTTTATTTTCTTCTTATTTTGCTGCCTGGAGCTCTGTGGCCACCCATTTAGGCCAAAGAATGAAGGCTGTAGCCAGGAATGCTGAAACTGCCTGGATCCCTGATGAATTTAGGGACAGAACTGCCTTGTGTTCTACCATTCAAGAATGGAGCTTACCACTGACTCTGGTTTAAATAAACACAAATTACTTCCCTTTTTTTTTTTTTTAACCCAGTGCTATTATTCTGTCATTCACAGATAAACCTAATCCCAATGAATAGACAACTACATCGAGTAAGGTGAGTAAGACATTTATTCTGGATGTGTTATTAAGGAGACACCAAAAAACAGTTAACAAGATACATAGCATTGCTTTAAAGAATCCTATTGACCACGTACAACCTGTGGACCATTCATTTATTTATTTTTGTAAATAAAGCTTTATTTTAGAGTCAGAACTTGGAGTAGGAGTGAGTGTAAACCTTGGAAGTACAAAGTTGAATCTTGTCCTTACTTAAAATTTTCATGTTTGGTTCATTATTTTTTATTTTTTTTTTTTGCCCAAGGATATATGCACTTACCAGAGAGAGACAGAGCCAGAGGAGAGGAAAAAGTACTCCCCATGGAGTATGGTCACACAGCAATTCCTTCTCCTTTGCCTCTCCCTCCTATTGAGACTGAGGGTGCACACACACACACACACACACACACACACACACCTAAAGCGTCTCTCAACCCGCTGGGTCTAGAATTTGAACTGTGCCGTTGACCATATGGAATCTGGCTGCCTCAGTTACCAAGCCACTGAACAGGCCTCCTTGTACTTTTAAAAATAATTTGGACTTAAAAAATTATATTAAAATAGTATTTAATTTGACTACTGTTTGCCTCCCAATCCATACACTTAAATTTTGTGCCCAAGATTAGTATCTCTTTCACCGCATTATTCCAGACTTGGTGTGTAACTGTGAGCTGACCACTGTAATAAAGATTGTAGGCAGATCAATCACTCCAAAACGAATGTCCTGCTCCTTTGCAACCCCTCTCCTCTGCTACTCCCAGTAAGACCCTTTCCAATCACCAGGTAACCAACAATCTGTTTCCTACTATCCAATGTATATGTATGCTTTCTTTTTTATTGACTTTCTTTCCTCTGCAAAATTACTACCATGTGACACCTTCAAGTCTCTCATTTGCTCAGTAGTATTATGCTCTTTCACCTGTAGATGGACACGTGGGTTCTTTCCAGTTGGGAGTATTACAGATAGAGCTGTCCAAACATTCACATGTAAGAATTTGTGTGGATAGATGAGAGAGGTCTTCAAAAAGTTCGTGGAAAATGTGTATTATAAATAACAATGCATAGGTTCGAAATTTTCTTTTGCACCAAAATAATACTTTAATTTCATTTCTCTACAAACATTCTGAAGTCCCCTTAAAAGCTTTTCCTTCTCTTGTGTTACTATCTAGGAGAGGAATCGCTGGATCAAGGGGTAGGTGCATATCTAACTTTTTAAGACATTGCGAAACTATTTTCAAAATGGTTGAGTCATTTTTGCACTCTCACCAGCAATGTATGAGATTTCTACGTCCTTCACATGTGCACTGACATTTAGTATGGAGAGGAGTGATGACAAGACTTGGCAAAAGTAATTACTGGGGAAGATTTGAAAACTACCTCTACTTTGAATGTTTTCCCCACCACATACAGATCGATCACCTAAGAATAAAGACTTATCTGCTCACAATATTTGGGCATAACCTCTCACACAAGTCATTAAGTTACTATGAAGATATGTTCACCAAGGTGAAATCCCCGGTCTGTCAGATTTCAAATGAAAATGAAAATGAAAATATAACAAAACTGAGTAGAAATATATGATCTTCATATTATGATCTTCATATTTATGCAAGATAAACTGTGTAGACTAAAACTTCACACAAACAGCAGCAATAATTATTTAGGGAAAAGGTTATTTTCTGTGGTCTATCGCTATAGCTTAGTGACTTAAAACAATGTACATATATTCACCAAGTTTGTATGGGTAAGGAGTCTGGGCACAGCTTCGCTGCATTTTCTGCTCAGGATCTCACAAAGCTACAGTTAGCTGTAAGCTGGGCTGCTATCTCATTTGAGGCTTGGGTCTTCCATGCTTAAGTGATTATTGGCAGAATTTATTTTCTTGCATCTGTAGAACTCACAGCAGCTTGCTTATTCAGGATCAACCAGATCCAGAGATAGACCTCTCATACTTTGATTCCTGGAAGTCTGAAATATATTTTGATGGACTTCCACAGTAGATCAACAATCTATCCTAAATAATCTCATTTTGATGAGCTCAGTGTTAATTAGTTGTAAACCTTCAATCCATTTGCAAAAATTATTTTATCTATACTAAATACCATAAATTAATCATAGTGATATCATCATTCACATTTGTAGGTTCTTCACAAAGTCAAGGAGATTATTCAGGACATGGTCATAGACAGTAGGAATTATAAGAGACATTTTAGAATTCTGTAATGATCAACATTTGATATAATATACTACATAAAATGTGCAATTTCAACAAAAAATACTCTGTTACATAAAAAGAAACAGAAATGTGACCCATATCAGAAAGAGAGAAGTCAATAGAAATTGATTCTAAAGGTGTTGGAAGTTGTATTTAACAGACAGTGATGTCAAAACAGTGATCATACATGTGTTCAAAGAATTAAATGAAATTATGTTTTAAAAAATTTAAGGCAAGTATAACAACAATTATTCATCAAAGAAAGAATAAAAACAAATAGACAGAATTTTTAAAAGAATTTTCTGAGGTTGAAAAGTATAGTAACAGAACTAAAATAAAATTCACCAGAGAGTCTCAAAGCTACTTTGAACTGACAGAAAGGAGAGTATTTGAAGATAGTTCAATAGAAATTGTCTAACCTGAAGAACTAGAGAAAGAAAAGTGAAGAAAAATGAACACAGTCTCAGAGAACTGTGGGACATCATTGAGACGTGTATATAATAGGAGTCCCAGAAGGAGAAGTAAAAGAGCAGGAAAAAAAAAAAAAAAGGAAATAAGGTCCAAAGTTTTCAAATGTGATTGAGAATCTTCATCTAAGCATATAAAAATTCCAAGTAGGCTATACTCAAAAAGTTCTATCCCCAGACACATTAATGGTGAAACTGTTGAAAAGTAAAAACTAAAAGATAATGTTGGAAGCAACAAGACAAGAATGATTTAATATACAGGATAATCTTGATAAAATTAAGAGTGCTTCACAAACAGGAGAAGTCATAAGTCAGAAGGATGACATATTTAAATTAGAGAAAGAAAACATGTCAACCATGATTTTTATATTCAGCAAAACTATCCTTCATAAATGCAGATGAAATAAAGACATTTCCAAGTAAACAAAGACTAAGAGATCTTGTGACTGGCTACCTTGTACTATATATAAAAAGAAGTCTTTCACACTGAATAAAAAGCTAGCAAATGGTTAACTCAAAAACATGCAAAAAAATAATGTTCATGGCAAAGATAGTATGAGAGGACTTCAAAAAATTTGTGGAAAAATAGGGAACCAGCAGTTAGCGTAATGGCTATGTTGCTGGACTCCCACATAGTTGACCGCGGTTCGCGTCCTGGACCCAGTGACTTAAAAAACTCACACTGGGCGCGTGTGCGTGCGTGCCCAAGATCCCGAGAGGAGAATGGAGGAGAAGGGATTACGGCATGACCATCCCCCCTGGGGGGTGATTTCTCGCTTTCTGTCTCTATGTCTCTCTCTGCCTGTCTGGCGAGCGCACACGCCCTATAGCGAAAATCTCTCCAAAAAAAAAAAAAATTGTGGAAAAATAGAATTAAAGTACAGGTTTATTTTGGTGGGAAATATTTTGAAATTCATGCCTAGTTTTTTTAATAATATGCATTTTATATTACCTTTTTGAAAGCCTCCTCATGTAAAAAAAGTAACATTTCTTTATCTGTACTTATGTATATATTTCCATCTTTTACTTAGTTTAAAAGATACTTTCATAAAATATTAATAATAATTTTTTAGAGAGATTTTTGCTCTAGGATGCATGCACTCACCAGAGAGACAGAAAGAGAGAAATCACCCCTCAGGGAAATGGCCATGCCACAATCCCTGTGAGTTTTAAGCTACCAGACCCTGGACTTAAACAGCTGTTGACTCTGTGGGAGTCCAGCAACATAACCATTACACCATTTGCTGGCCCCAATAATAATTATTAAACTATATTGTTGGCATGGTGATTAATAGAAATGTAATATATATTATAATAGCACAACAGAGTAAGGAGAAAATGATGCTATAATAAAGAAAAGCTGCTGTTTTGTTGCACATCTCTATAAAGTTTATTAAAAATCATTGAAGTGTACATTTATGGCAGGAGAATTTTATGGTATACAAATTATATCTTAATACAGCTGATAAAAAATACACCAGGGCCAAACTTCTCTCAGGTGCCTTTTCAGACTTTCATAAAAAAATATTTTATCTGAAGTTCTACTGCATTCCCTATTGGTCCTCAGGGCACTACGGAAAGAATGGCTACAAAATATATTTCTTCGCAACTATTTACACTTACTTAAATTGGTTTCAATGAAATAAAGCCAAAACATAAAATTTCAAAGCTGAATTTAGATCGTACACTTGCTGTGGAAGTCTTTACAGGGATGTCTGAATACAGAAGGGGAAATAAAAAGAAAGGATACAGAATGGAAGCAAGGAGCCAGCTGGCTGCAAGGTGGTTAAGACAGTTGGTTTCCGCATGGCAGACCTTGTAGTTTGAGTTGCAGACTCAGTGGCTTGAAAAACACGCCAGGTGTGTGTGTGTATGTCCAAAATTCTGAGAGGATAAAAGGATTGTGCCATGGCCATCTTTCCCAGGGGGTGATTTCTCACTCCTCTTCTCTTCTCTTCTCTTCTCTTCTCTTCTTTCTCTCTCTCTCTCTCTCTCTCTCTCTCTCTCTCTCTCTCTCTCTCTCTCTCTCTCTCTCTCTCTCTCTCTCTCTCTCTCTCTCTCTCTCTCTCTCTCTCTCTCTCTCTCTCTCTCTCTCTCTCTCTCTCTCTCTCTCTCTCTCTCTCTCTCTCTCTCTCTCTCTCTCTCTCTCTCTCTCTCTCTCTCTCATCTGGTGAGTGCACCCATGCTATAGAAAAATCAAAAACAAAACCAAACACACAACCAAAGAAATGGGAGCAGAGAATGACTCAAAGCTTCTGATATCCCACCAAGTATTGGGTGCAATCTAAGGAGAGCTTCCATCATCTTAGTTGAAGGC